CATTTCATATTTTACTGGGGACTACTTCCGTTTCGGTTCGTGCTTCGTCGTGTATGTGCGACAACTGCCTCTACTATTCTATTTCCAAGTTTAGAATCTCGATTTTTGACTCTGTTTGGATGTGTGCTTCGCAGTGTCGATGGATAGATCTACTTCAAGCCAAACTTTATTGTATTGACTTTTTCTAGATACATTTGGTGTAGTCATAATTCAAGACTGGTTTGGAGTAGTTAGCAAGAACAGAAGTGCCGTTTGTGCTTTGTGACTGAAGGGTCATGGGTTTGAACCATGCCGGCAGGGTCCGAAATTTTGTCCGAAGTAGAGGTATGTTTTATGACAAGAGGTTAAGGTATTCGCCTCTCATTCAAATGTCCCGGGTTCGAATCCGGATAACGATGGAAACAATTAATTTTCTTCTCTACAATTGTCTTCTTTCCCCTCCTTTCCTGCTCTCTAGTAATGTTCTGTCGTCTGCTCTGGTCGCCCTCTGCTCCCACCCTCTCACCTCCTGTGCCTCATCCTCTGGGCTCCTGACTCTTTCTGCAGCCGTTCTATTGCTAATCCTTGGCTCCTCCTTACTGCTGTCTTTCAGCCACACCCCTGATCTTATGAGGAAAGATCTACACCTAGCCTTCTCGGACAAGGGCGAAAAATCTCCGAGGTCCCGTCTGCAAGTGTGGTCTAAAATCGAAAAGAGTAGGTTTCGGCCAACACCTCGGCAAAATTCAAAATTTCCTACCAACTGAAAATGTTTATAATGTATCCCGCGCGCTCATAACCTTATGCAGTTGCGAGCGCCGTAAAACACTTACCGAAAAAAGAGAGAAAAAAAAAAGAACTAAGGTGAGAGAAACTTCGGACAGTATGTTTCAAGTATATATCAAATATTGTTTAACTTTTTTGAGAGGCAAATCTTTGACACACCACATACAATATATACGAGTCTGCCTGCACACCTTTTGTTTGAGGCTTGAAAGTGTATTTCACACTCACTGGACATTACAGAAAACAGTGGTCCAATCATTTCTATAAACTAGTCCGCAGAGTAAGACAGAACAACATATACATGGTTGGGTTTTTTTTTTTGCTAGTTTGTTTGCGATTTTTTGTGTTTAACGGTGCTCGTAATTGTATAAGGTCATGTGAGCGTACGGGACTAATTAAATATTAAAGTTTCAAACATTTTCAGTGTGGTAGGAATTAATTTTGAATTTTGCCCGGGTGGCGGCAGAAGCCTACTCTTATCGATTTTGAACCACCAAAGGATCTTTAACGTGCACAACTTGCACACGGGACCTCGGAGATTTTTTAAAATCCGACATGGCTAGGTGTTCCATCTTACCTATCCTAAGATCAGGGCTGTGGTTGAAAAACAGCAATAAAACGGATCCAAGGATTAGCAGTAGAAAGGCTGAAGAAAGAGTCAGGAGCTTAGAGTAGGGGGCAAAGGAGGTGAAGCGGTGGGAGTAGAAAGTGGAGACGAAAGCAGAGGACAGAAGATGGTTTGAGAGCAGGAAAGCATTTGAATAAAACAAAATTAGAGAAGATGATTTTCCGTCGCAGTTTCGGACCCGCTAAATGAGAGGCGAACACCGTAACCTTTAGACCACTAGAAACCCCCAAAATATGCAGAGAATTTGAAATTGCCCAGATCAGAAAGCAAAAACCCTGCTATGTGCCCCTGAATGAACCACTAGAAATCAACAAATATTTCAATTTACACACCTACTCATTTCACGCCGACATACAATGTTTGTTTTGTTTTTGTAAGTGTTTTACGGCGCTCGCAACT